AAACAGGCTATTTATTACAGCTGACTTTGTAACTCAGGTGGCTTCTAAGTCTATTTGGCTAGTATCCATTTTCTACCATACATGTGTGTGTGTGTGTGTGTGTGTGTGTGTGTGTGTGTGTGTGTGTCTGTCTGTCTGTCTGTCTTTGTGTTTGTGTCTGTGTATCTGTCTGCATGTGTGAGATGTGTATTGATCAAAGGACACCTATCAGGATTCTGTCCTTTCTTTTACTATGCAGGTTCTAAGGATCAAGCTCAGGTCATCCTGCTGTGTGGCAAGCACCTGTACTCTTCCCTTTACTGAGCCTTCTCCAACGTCTTCTACCTCTTACATGGAGATGATCCTCTCATGCTTGCCCTTTGCAGCACTCTCATGTTTCAACAGTGATTCTAGAATATTAGTAAAGTTTTTCCCTACCTGTAGTCTCAGAATTTGAGAGACTAAGGCAGGCACCGATCACTATGAGCTCAAAACCAGTATGACTAATCTGTGAGTTCTAGGCCAGCTAGACTATGAAATGAGACCCTACCTGAAACAAAAATGTGCATAAGAATCATCCAAGGTTCTTATAAAATACGGGTTTCTAAATCCTGCCCTCAGACTATGATCAACGGGGTGTAGAATGATGCCTTCAGAATCTTTTTTTTTTTTTTTTTTTTTTTTTGGGTTTTACGAGACAGGGTTTCTCTGTATTGTTTCGGAGGCTATCAGTCCAGCCCGGCCTCGAACTCACAGAGATCCGCCTGCCTCTGCCTCCCGAGTGCTGGGATTAAAGGCGTGTGCCACCACCGCCCGGCTGCCTTCAGGATCTTAAAACAAGTCCTAATACAAATGCTGCAGGGCCAACCACACTTTGAATGGCTAACACTTTACAGTCTTGTATACTTCAGTAAGTCTAATTATCTCTTCCATGCTGGCATTCACATATTTTAACATTTTTTTCTGTTGTGATTTTCTCCTTCATTCCAACATTTTGAGATTTGAGGTAGACATTCCTGGTATCACTGGCCTATAATCCAACACTTGAGAAGTAGGGGCAGGAACATGGAAAATTCAAGGCTACCCTGGGCTACAAATATAGAATGTGTCAGAAAAAAACAAAAAAAAATTTTTGGTTTTTTGAGACAGGGTTTCTCTATATTGTTTTGGAGGCTGTCCTGGAACTCTCTCTGTGACCAGGCTGGCCTCGAACTCAAAGAGATCCGCCTGCCTCTGCCTCCCGAGTGTTGGGATTAAAGGCATATGCCACCAACGCCCAGCTATGTCTCAGAAATTTTAAAAAAAAAAAACTCAAGACCAGAAGCATGACTGATAATCAATTAGCAGACACTTGCTTTTAATTATTAAAGTCCTGGAAAACTTGCAGAAGCATTGGTGAGCAGCTGCTATTCTCAGGTCCACTTGTCTCATCACTACAAGCCTGGCTACAAGGTTTGTCCCCTGAGACTCAAGTCCTGCCTACAGTCCAGCAACCAACAGATCCTAACTATGTCTTCAGCTTCATGGAGATGAAATAATAAACATACGAAATGGGACTGACTTTAACTAGGGGTGGGGGGGCACACGACATGCTCAATTCAGTGTATAAGATGGTTTACCCACAAAAATAGTTGGTTGAAGTATAGCCTAAAGCGAGTTGTAGGTTATGGTAGCTTATTCGTTCTTCAGGTCTGGCTGCTTCTCAGAATCAGAGCCCTGTTGGATTTTGATTTAGTTTGATCAGGAGACACTCCATGTATTTTGTGACATTTTCCCAAGCAATTGACAACACAAGATTTTTGCCTTCTGTTGAACAAGTAGACGTTTCATATGCAAAGATGTGCCAGTGGTTCAGTGTAGACTTACATACATATATCACATTTAAGTCTACTCTACTAGAACACGTAAGGCCTGACCATAAAAGGCCCCTTTTCCTCCTGGAAAAAAGTTCCTGTGAAAAAGAGACTCCATAAAAAGGAAATTCTACGTTTAAGGAGAATATACTCAGACCAATCGAGATGGCTCACGCCTTTAATCCAAACACTTGGGAGGCGGAAGCAGGTGGATCTCTGTAAGTTCAAGGCCAGCCTGGTCTACATAGTGAGTTCCAGGATAGGAAGAACTATGTAAGGAGACCCTGTGTCAAAATAAACACACACACACACACACACACTAAAATATGGTCACATTTATAATTTGTAAAGATATAATTTTTTATTTTAATCCCAGGGTAATTTGAATTTGTTTCTGAATATAAAATATAATTATATTTTAAACATATACTACTTTCCTCTGAATCATATGTACAAGTGTTTGAAACAAAGGAGGAATAACAATCCTATAAACTGTTGTGTCATGGGTTTAATCCTGAGTCATGTGTTGTCTGGTGCCTGAGTCACTAGTTACTAACGCCTTCCTATAAGGAAAAGCTTGCTAACAATAGGCAGTGAGTGATTGTGAAACTTGTTGAGTACTTAATTGATTTAACTAGGAAAAGGCTTTAAAGTAGTATTGGGGAATTTGGTTTGTCGAGACAGAGTTTCTCTGTGTAACTTTGAAGCCAGGATTTTTTTTTTCAGTCAGAGGAATTAAATTCTGTTGAATTACCTTTTTCACAAATAAAAAAAAATCACCACTTTTTATTAATAGCTGTATTCTTATCCCCCAAGGAGTGAAAAAAGAATGGGGTGGAGAGGGTAGGGGTTGTACTTCAATGGGAGTGGACGAATCTGCCACTACAACATAGTATAGACAAGTATATATGAGGCCCTAGAGAATTGGGGAGGGAGCAAAAATGGGAGACAAAATACTACACACATTTATAAAGAAATGTATCCTTAAAACAGTAATGCTGTAGTTTTTATGAGTGTTGGGGAAGCCCCAGCATGTAAATGTGATGCCTTGGAAGTAAGGCTTGTGACTCATTTTGCTGATGTAAAATCAAATACATGTAGTTGCTGTTGTGAACAACAAAGTGAACTAATGTGTGTAGGATGGCTGCTACTTTTTCTGCAATTAGAGTTGGTAAGTTTTAGACTGTTCATTCTTGACCAAAGTTTACTACTGTAGTTGTAAATGCTCCTCCTTCCCTCCCCCTGTGCCTGTCCACCTCACAGGCACAGATAGAAACACACTGCACTTTGAAACACAAAGCCACTTGGCAGTTGAGTTTATTCAGCCAGGGTCAGTTGTATGAAAACAAAGTCAAGGCAATTGTTTGATATAATTGACTAAGGAAACTGGTTATACGGGTTAGTAGAACTTCATTCGGCTGCATAGTTGAATGTTTCTAAAGTAATTTAGTAGGGTAGGATTCCAGTGACATCACAGTGGATTTTAAAGAATGAATATCAGAACAAAAGAAAAGCACACCAAAACCCTACCTACAGTGGGGGAAAGTTGCCCTTCCAAGAAGTTTTCTTCAGTGTTCACGCATTTTCTGTTACTCTGCGCCTGTGTCTCTGCCCGGATTTGTTCATTCTTTACACCTTGGACATTTAACAACTGTATCCCCATCTCACTGCTCCCTCCCCCCTTGGTGTCAGAGAAGCTGGTCACTTCCTGTTTGTTTGGGTTTTCAGTGTTTTTGTGTATGGCATGGGTGTGCATATGAACAAACATGGCACAGCACAGATGGGGAGGTCACAGAACAAATTTGGAGTTCTCTTTCTACCTTCATGTGTAGTCACAATATTGCTCCCAAGTCACAAACCTTCTCTGCTAGGGTCTTTACTGACTGATCCCACTTAACTGCTAACTTTTTCTGGTTGGTTGGTTGGTTGGTTTTTCCAGGGCAGGGTCTCTGTAGTTCTGCCTGTCCTGGAACTCAAAGAGATCCACCGGCCTCTGCCTCCCAAGTGTTGAGATTAAAGGAGTAGGACGGACACTATGCCCAGCTTCTCTTACTGTTTTCATAAAATGAATGGAATGCACCCCTCAAAAAGGTTGAAATACTAAATTGCATGTAGAACTTAAAATAGTGTGTAGATTTTAAAATAGACTTAAGAAAATATAAGCAGTGTTGTGGTATATGATTGTAATCCCCCACTGAAGGCGCTGAAGCAAAACCATGACTGTCTTGAAAAACAGATACTCCAGCCACTTCTTTGAATTTGGAACATAGCATAGTAGTCTGAGTATCTGGTTGACATATATGTGTCCCTGGCTTCAGTCCCCAGCACTGAAATAAAAGATGAGCATAGGGGTTCTAAAACATTAATTGAATTGTTTAAATGGGCAGGGCATGGTGGGTAGTTCATGCTTTTAGTTCCAGCACTCAGAAGATAAAGGCAGGCTGATCTCCGAGTTTGGGGCCAACCTGGCCTGTAAAAGCAAGTTCCAGGAGAGCCATACCTACCAGAGAAACCTTGTCTTGGGGGGGAAAAAAAGGTTTAAATGGTAACTTTTTATGGGTTTGGATTTTTGGCTTTGGGTATTTTTGGTTTGGGGCTTTTTTTGATATTTTAACCATAATTTTAAATTATATAAAATGATTCAGGTATAAGAGTTGTGTTTTTAAAAACTAAAGGGGATATGAAAAAATAAAAGTTATTGAATGAGTTATATATTTTTAGAAAAAAAGTCTAAGTGAAAGATTGTTTCATCTAATGAATTTTCATTAAAAGGAAATATATATGCATATATACATATATATGAATGTATATATGTATGTCATGTTGCTCAAATGAACAAATAGAAGATGTGGGTGACCAGTCTTCCAAATTGATTGATCCTTATTGTTTACAATTATTTTTACTATTTTTTATAATGACTGTATTGATTAGTCATTTTCTAAACCTCCAGATGTATACAGATCTATTTAACAATTCAGAAAAGTTCATGTGCAAAAGAGTTTAGTGTACTCTGCATGTGGTGTGTAGCTCAGTGCAGGCATGAGGTCCTGAGTTCAAGCTCCCGTGCTAGAAAAGTCATGTCAAGAGAATAATGTGCTGTAACATTAAAGCATTTGGGGTGGTGTCAGTTTAAGTTTTCTCAGTTTAATGTCATATGTGTTTCTTTAGCTTGACAGAGCCAATTCACTGTTAAACCAGACTCAGCAACCCTACAGATACCTCATAGAGTCTGTGCGGCAAAGGGATTCCAAGATTGATTCACTGATGAAGTGTACAGCTCAGCTTGAGAAAGACATCAGGTAAGCTATCTACACTTCTTTTATTTGGATAATAAAGACATTGCTAATGCGCTGCTGTAGATTAATTTGGGTTGTCCATTTTGAATAGCGTCATCATGAGCATAGTCTTAAGTGATGTAAAGATTCAAACTTAAAGGAGCTGTGGGTGATGGCTCACTGGGTGAAGTGCCTACTGTGTGTGCTAGTGTGAGCACCTGAGTTTAATCTCCAGGACCCACATAAAGCCAGAGCCAGCAGTACATCTGTAGTCCCGGGGCTTGTAAAGCAAGACGGTGAGATGGAGACAGAAGGGTCCCCTGAAGCTAACGGACCAGCTGTCCAGCTGCCATGGCAGAGGCAGCCAAAACAGCAGAAGTGTCTTAAACGAGGTGGAAGCAGTGACCCTCTCGACACTCCATGCACTGGCACGCTGTCACGTTAGGTATTCATATCTCACCATTACCAAAGGTCTTAGTGTGCTCTCTAGCAAAACTCCGTCCATACGAAGGGCACAAGAGCCACTTTATTCTCGTCCTTCTAGATTTCTTACTGAGCTGTAGGCCAGGAAGGAAGGACTGTAAGCTCATGCCATTTGTAGTCAGGATGACTTTTTAAACAGGTCAAGTTTATACGTTTACTTAGGTTTATGTTGACTTTTCCAAGAAAATTCTGGGCTAATCTGCCTCTGATCCTTTACATGAAGTAACCCAAGAATTACCTCAGTGTCAGTAAATAAATTCCAATGCCTTTATTTAAAACTGGATCTATGTTAGAAAAACACCTTTATGCGAAAGATTTGTTTCATTTATTCGTCACACTTTCTTTTCTTTTCTTTTTTTTTTTTTTTTTTTTTTTTTTTGCAACAGGGTTTCTCTGTAGCTCTGGCTGACCTGGAATTGTTCTGTAAACCAGTCTGCCCTCGAACTCAGAGATCTGCTTGCCTCTGCCTCCCAAGTGCTAGGATTAAAGGCCTGCCACCACCACACCCAAGATCTGTCATTCACATTTGTTAACCTACTCATTTATGAGGCTAAAGTTTTAGGGTTTTGGGGTGTGTGTGTGTGTGTGTGTGTGTGTGTGTGTGTCTGTCTGTCTGTCTGTCTGTCTGTCTGTGTGTATGTGTGTGTGTATGTGTGTGTGTGTGTGTAATGCCAGGCAGCAAGCAGCCTTACCTGCTGAATCTTTCTGCCCTCTTGCTGGTTTCCATTTTTAGTTTTTTAAACAGAAAAAAAAATGGGGGTGCTACACATGGAGGATAAGGTTTTTACTCACGAGTAATTGGTTATGTAGCTTAGTTACTAAATTTAAGATTGATGTAAAATTTTAATTTTCTAAATAATCATTAAACCACCATAAATATGAAACAAGAGAAAATTAGAAGCAGTTTCCTAAGATGTACAACAGAAAATTGAGCTGTCATACTTAATTCTGAAGTGTGTGTTCTTTCAATACAAATCTTCATCTCTTGTCAGTCCAACCACACCAAAATAATTGTCCCAGAGCTTTACTCTTGCTTAATCTTGTGTGTTATGATAAAGTAAAGTCAGCTATGCACAGTAAACGTCACAATAAATAAGTTTATTTCTAAAATTACCATAAAGTTTGAGAGATTTCTTACGTAATTACTAACAAATTGATTCAATTAATTGGTTTCACTATAAGTACATGCTGCAACAGAAATTATGCATTTCATCATCTACTACATATGTAGTTAATTTTAGGGAAACCAAGGAAAAAATTTCAGATGGGACTTTTTCTTGTTATATATTTTTATAGTTGAAATTTTTATAGTACTATCATTTTATTTTTTATAAACTTGAAGAAAGGACATAATATAAAAACCTGGAGGAAATACCTTTTACATTTGCCTTGAAATAGTTCTTAAATACGTATTAAAGTGGCTTTTGGGAACCTGTTCCTCATGCCGGATTACATCACCCAGCCTTGATGCAGGGGGCAGAGCTGGGTCCTGCCTCAGCTTCATGTGCCCTGCTTTGCTCAAGCCCATGAGGAGCCTGCCCTCTCTGAATGCAGATGGAGGAGGTGTGGGAGGAGCCTGCCCTCTCTGAATGCAGATGGAGGAGGTGTGGGAGGAGCCTGCCCTCTCTGAATGCAGATGGAGGAGGTGTGGGAGGAGCCTGCCCTCTCTGAAGGCAGATGGAGGAGGTGTGGGAGGAGCCTGCCCTCTCTGAATGCAGATGGAGGAGGTGTGGGAGGAGCCTGCCCTCTCTGAATGCAGATGGAGGAGGTGTGGGAGGAGGTGTGGGTGGGGGTGGGGAGGGGAAGGGAACAAGAGCCAGAAAGGAGAGGAAGAAGAGGATACTGTAGTTGGTATGTAAAATAAATGAATTAAATAAAAAATTAAAGTGGCTAGAATATTTAACATGGAAAAATATTAGGTAGCAGTTAGAGAAGATTCTATAAATAAAATTCATTCCTTGGAAAAGTGAGCAGCATGTCCTCTAAGTACGTATGGTTTGGCAGTAGAACCAAAATGTGATTCCATATCTCCTACTTGGGCATTCTGTAGTCTTAGTCATTAGGTTATACTGCCTCCTATGTTCTGCCCTAGATGAGGAGTAACTTCTCTAGAGAAAGTATAACAAAGAGAAGTGTAAGAGAGCTGAACAGCTATTAAATGTAAGGCTTTGAGCTAATGAATATTGAAACTGGGTGACAGATATATAGGATTATATTTTTTCTCATTTAAAATACTCCATAATAAATGAAGTAATGACCTTGTTGTTTTAAAAAAATAAAAAGTCTTAAGGGCACACTGGACAGGCTGGAGAGAGGACTTGGTAGCTGAGAATAAGTGTTACAGAGAACACAAGCGAATTTAGTTCCCAGCACCCAAGCGGGGTAGCTCCCAACTGCCCTACTCCAATTCTAGGGGATCCTACATTCTTCTAGTCTCTGCAGGTACCCGCACTCACATGTTCACGTACCCCACACAGACCACACTTACACACAGAATTAAAAAATAGTAAAAGTAAGCTCTCTTTTTAAAAAGTTGAGGGAGATTGAATGCTGACTCTATAAGTAGGCTACATGAGTTATAATCCAGCCCAGGGCTTCCATTCAAATTGGGCCAAATTAGTAAAGCTTGCTATTATTTTGTCAAATGTTCTGTAACAAAATTTCCAAATCTGCACTATCCAGTATAATAGCCACTTCCCACATGTTACTCAGGAGCAAATTTCCTAGTTCTGTTATATAAAGGGAAGTTTCTGTCCCACCAGTCCTGCAGCCATTTAGTCCCAAATAAACACACATGGGCTTATATTAATTATAAACTGTTTGGCCGCTGGCTCAGGCTTCTTACTGGCTAGCTCTCTCTTGATTATTAACCCATTTCTGTTAATCTATGTATCTCCATGTAGTCTTAGCTTACCAGAGAATACCCAGGCATCCTAACTTCACAGTAGCTACATAGAGTCTCCCTGGCTCTGCCTACTATCTTTCCCTATCCCTGTTTGGATTTCCTACCTGGCCAAATCCTGCCTGTCCATTGTCTGAAACAGCTTTATTCATCAACTAATAAGAGAAATACATATACTCACAGCATGCAGAAGGACATTCTCCATCACTGTTTAAATTAATTTTCATTTCAATTGTCACATGGGCTAATGGTATTGAACTACACAGCCAGCCTCTTTATCTGTGAGAGTGGTAACTAATTCACATGGATATCTGAGAATTAAGTTACAAATTAATATGTATAACATAATATCTCCACATCATAAGCAATTGCCATTATTGGTATTCATCTAACCCTTGACAAATCTGGGTGTTGATAATCTTGAAAATGAGAAATAATATTTCTCAGGATGTTGAATTTGGATAAAAAGTAATAATGATAGCAACAGTAATCATAAGTCAATGTGGAATTAGCTATCAGAGTATATATTTGAAGCAGGGTCTCACTGTAGCCCTGGCTGTCTTTGAACCTTAAACCAAGTTTACTTGAGCTCATACATCCACCTGCCTTTGCTTGCTGATTCTGGGATTGAAGGTGTGTGCACCATCATGCTTGGTTTATCAAAGTTGTGTTACTGTGTTTCAGAAGCTCATCATCTATTTTAATAGATTCTGAGCTACTATTTGATGGATGTGATGTCATGCTTCCAGGTGAAGCAACTGTCTACTGTGAAAAATCAAAGTAATGTAATTGTGCATTAGAAATACTGCCATAAGTTCTGCCTCTGTACATGTATGAATTATAAGGTATGGTGATTGCATTAAAAAGCCAGTTACAGGGCTAGAGAGATGGCTCTGTGCAAACACGGAGACTTGAGTTTAGATCCCAGCACACATGTAAAAACAACTGAAAAAGCTAGGTGTGGCCACACACACCCGTAATACAGAAAGAGGGTCACTGGGGCTTGCAGGCTGACCGACTGCTCCAAATTGGGTAAAAGACCATCCCAAGGGAATAGGCAGAACAATGGAAGAGGAAACCTTATGTCTTCCTGTGGCTTCCACATAGGCATGTATACTGTCCCCTAGAACACACATGCACCCCCACACATAACAAATTAACAAGTTTAAGTTTATGCTCATTCTCAGCTATGTAGGAATTAATTCGAGGCCAACCTGGGATGGATACATGAGACCTTACCTAAACAACAAAAGAACTGCGGAAAGATACTACTTTCCTTTAAAGTTAAACAATGCCATTGTACTTCCGTTAACCCTTATTGAATCATGCATTCTACTGCTGTGCCACACGGTCAGACCTACCTATACAGTGTTCTTAGTAACCAGAAAGATTAGAATAAATGTGTACTGAAATGAAATCAGCAGAAGCTGTTGGAAAGCTCACAGTAAGATGTTGCTAGTAACTGCTTTGAATTCCCTGTCATTAAAGTAGTAATCTAGTCTAAAAGTAGTACGTTAACTCTCCACCACGCCACAGGAGACAGTCAGTCTGGAAAATCAGTGTGATCTCTACTTTGGATCTGAGGGGAGCATGAAAAGAGAATGATTAGCATAAGTTTTCTTTCCCTGCTACTGGTTCTCAGTTTATTCTTAACTAGTAGTTAGAAAAGAAAAGACTACATTTTCAGCTTCTCTTACATGGCGAAGCCAGAGTATATCGATCCAGGAAGTTAAGGTACACTATATCAGGAATATGTTTTCCTATAGCAGGTGAAGTAGAGCCATAAACATGAATTTCTAAGTAATAATTAACAGTGAATTGAACAATTATGGGTGTAATATAACATTCAAGATAGATGTGCTCAGGGGAAGTTTGTTCTCCTGGTTTATGAGTCACACATGGAAGGTTTATTTTTTTTTTTAAAGTAAGATTGTGTTGTTCTGAACTATGTCTTATGAAGCCAGAATTTCTACTGAGAAAGCACATACTATCAGAGCAGTGAATTTAATGATCATCATGTGGAGTTTTAGAAATGCCCATGTTAAAGGTAGTGTCCATTGTGACTTAGCTATGTTATAGCAAAGACTAAGACGTATCTCAGAGCTTCCAGTCAAAGAAATGTGCTCCCAAGCATCCATGTTGTGTGCAAGAAACGGCTATGTTTAAGATGCAACACGGTTGTGCTGTGTTATCCACCCAGCTTGGATTCCATAGTGTGTGGCTGCTTTGCTCTTTAATTGTGGAACACTTGCTTTATTCTTGAAAAGTTAAATACTATATACAAAGCCTTTCTAGAGAATATCCGGTCAGAATCCTTTAATTACTTCAACATTCCATTCCCATTGCACTGTATTTTATTTAATGGACTTGTTGGTGTTTGGCACAGAAAGGGAGAGTGGGGGGAAGTGTACACTGCACATGAGCATGTATCTATGCAGTGTCTGTGTATGTACTTACATATGAATGTAAACACTCCTTGAAAAGACCTAGTTCTGTTCATGGAACTTACTTTCATTTTTGACGAGTGTGTTTCCCCAGATAAAACACAAATAACTTGGAATTTGAGCATTTCAGAAACACCTGATGCATACCATGTCTCGAAGCCTGGTGGAGCCATGGCTCCCTGTCCTGGACGCCATTTTGTTCTTTTCAACTGCTCAGCCTAGTAGGCTCCCTGGCGCCTACCTCTGCATGTCAGTTTGTTTTTCTGCTGAGCTGCTCGCCTTTATTGGCATTTAATTACTGTTTTCCTCTGATGCCTAGTTTTCATCTACGTTAGTAATAGTGTGCAGCACTTATGTAGAGTTTTATGTGTTCAGCGCTTTATGTAATCATTCACTAGGTAATTCCCATATCCCTTTGGCATACATGAGGAGTTTACACTTTTACAGATGTGAAAAGCCAGTTCTGCTTTGCACTGCACAGCTGAGTGAGTGGCACAGGAGGAGGCACTCAGAGCTGCACACCTATCCTCAGGACAGGTGCTCATGGGGAAGCTGACTTCATGGGGAGGAGCTGGGAACTTTGCCTTATAAGCCCTTGGACTTGCCAGTTCCCCCAGAATGCTCATCACGCTTAAGTTCAAAACATCCTCTAGTATTGTTATAATTGGTAGCTTTTTGTTAAAAATAACTTAAGGATGTCTTACAACAAATGCTTCTCATTAACTCCACCCTCACGGAATTTTGTCTCAACATTTGAGGAACTGTGCTGTGTTGACTTATTATTGCTCTTCTCAATCCTTAGAGCTGGTCACATAGATTTTTTTTTACAAATTACATTATATAGCATATTTCATGATTCTTCCCATTAATTTCTGTACATCAAATAGTAAAATTGCAGATAGTGTAAAGCTGTCCACAATTATTTCTTAGAATATTAATATGACCTAACAGTGGACTCAGTCATAAAGCAGAAATTACCAGTGTAGACACAGAAATTTAATACTGAACTAAGAATTTGGAGACAAAATTATTCTGTAAAGTTTACAGGAGACTGATTTATTTAAATTACGTACGTTTACTATGTGACAAATTAAAAATACTGCTGTAAGTCCTAGGGGTAAGTGCTTCAATTTGATGTGTAATATCTTGTGTTTTAATATGTCCATGTATAGATACTTTCTTTCTACCTCCTTTTAACATTTCAGGAGTAAGCAGTCAGGAAAACACTGATGATGTGCCCACAGTAGGCTGGGTAGTCACAGTGTCAAAAACTCCTCGTTCAGTAATTAAGGCACTCGTTTAATTAGCATTACAGTGTCTGCTCTGCTGTGTCCACCAACTACAAATCCCATTTACCTTCACTTCAAACCATCAAGTTTGTGTTTGTTCTTTTTATTTACTGTCTCTTAACTAAACTCATACAACCTGGTCACTTCTTAAAACTTGGGTTTTTAACAGCAATATAAATAAGGAAAAGTCAGCCCTGCTGCAGACGAAGAACCAAATGGCCTTGGATTTGGAGCAGCTTCTAAATCACCGTGAGGTACTTTTCCTAGCTTGTCATAGTTTGTCACCTCTTGAGCATTTTCCAGATCAATGTTTGCCTTAAGATGATTAGACCTGGTGTCCTGTTCCTGTGCTCATCCCTGACTTCTGTTTGTAGCTCACTGTGGTCTATCCATTTTTATAACTTTATTTTTAGAGCTAACTCTAATTTCTGGAATGCCTTTCTTCTATCTCAGTCACTGATTTTCATATTACTTAACCACTACATGCTTTGTTTCTTTCTGCCGTTAGACATTAAGTTTCTTCCGTGTGCCCCCGTCTTACCTATCCCTCATATACAGTATTCCTGCTGAGCTTTAAAGTTGAAGTGCGTTTGGGGTGGGGCGTCTCATAAGCCGGAGGCTGGCCTCTGACCCTCCTACCTTCAGTTCCTAAGTGCTAGGATTATAGGTGTGCACCACCCTGTGCAGATTTGTAAGGTTCTTTATATTTTTTAAATTGTTGTTCATCAAATGCTTTTAGTTCTTTGAAATTTTAATCTTTTCATTTATAAACTTTGCTTATGAAACATTTCATACAGTATATTTTGATCAGTTTCATCCCCTTCCCTCAGATCCTCCCCACATCTCTACCCACAAAGTTTGTGTTCTTTCTCCCTTCCCTGCTACTTCTCTTCCTTCCTTCTACCCATCTTCTCCTTTTAAACCCATCCAATCCAGTTTATGCTAGCTGACTATTTTGTGGTTTAAATCATATTTATTAGAAAATATAAACGGGCAGGTATATGGCTTAGCTGCTAGCCTGCTTGCCTGCGTGTACAAAGGTCTTGGGTTTCATTCCAATACCAAATAAAGCTGAGCACCTGTCATTTCAGCACTGAACCACCGAAACAAGGTCAGAAATTCAAGGTTAGCCATATAGTAAGTTTGAGGTTAGCCTGAGATGCAGGAGACCATATATATGTATGTGGGGGGGGGGTATGAGAGAGAGAGTAAGATTTAACTTTGGGGAAATTAGTCTCTCATTTCTTTTGACAAATACACGTAGTTATTATTACTACCACCATCCATATGTAAAGTAATCTCACCACCCCAAAAACACCCTCATGACCCCTTTAAGGTAAATTCCTTTCTTTTCCTCCCAGTCCTGGGCCTTAGTATCAACTGACCTATTTTCTTTACCTGTGATGCACATACAGTCAAGCAGACACACACATACACATTCATTCAAACAAAATGAAATGATTCTGGAGTCAGTTCTCTTACGGCTATCTTTTACATCATCTTCTGTGATGGGCAGAAGAGTCAGGTAGGGCGACCGTGGCAGTGCTGGCCTTAGGCAGCGCTCTAGACGCTGAGGTGGAGGCCGGCTTAAATAGTGAAACTGACTAAACAAACACAAAGCAAGGGGCGGGCAAGAAGGAAGTCCTGAATCGGTTTTTCCCTTGCTTTTTAGTACAGGCTCATGTACTCCAGATGAGCCTTAAACTCACTATGTAGCCAGACCTTGCTCTGTGATCCCCCTGCCTCCACCTACCAAATGCTAGGATTTCAAGGTATGTCTACCATGCCCAGTTACCAGACTGGGGATGACTTCTGTGTTAGGTGAGCTTTCAGCTGAGCAGTACTGCAAGCCTTGGGACTGCAGTTTAGAGATAACCTGGAGGTAAACAAGTCCATCCGGAACAGATGGCAGAGCTGGGGAAAGGCTCTGTGCAGATCCTCATCCTTTCTTCTGCCTGTCGCTGTCGCCCGTCTCCAGCAGTACAGCCATCACCCACGTCCCAGAACTGTGCCTTCCAGCAACTGTTTCTTCACTGTGGAAGCCCGACATCCTCGGTGTTTGTTTGTCTGTAAATCTGAATATTTAAGAGATCATAACCAAAGGTTCCTGTTCCATCACAAAGCTGTGTAAGACTTTGTGTTCAGAATGGCAAGTCTCATTTAATGCTAAAGGATTATGCTACACTATGAAAATTATATAATTATAAAATTATAGAAGCAGCTGTTCCTACATTTTGTACATCAAACTAAAGCCACGTTATTCATGAGTTCAAATAGTAACTAAAGCCGGGCATTAGTGGCGCACACCTTTAATCCCAGCACTCAGGGAGGCAGAAGCAGGTGGATCTCTGTGAGTTCGAGACCAGACTGGTCTACAAGAGCTAGTTCCAGGACAGCCTCCAAAGCCACAGAGAAACCCTGTCTTGGAGAACAAAAAGTAACTCAGAAGCTGCGAATCAAAGTAACCCATCCTCCCTCCCTTCAGTTGTGTCCTCAGGCATGTTGTCATGGAGACAAAACCTGACGGAAGGCACCCAAGGCTTATTCATACTATTTCAAGGCCCTGGTCATATTGTTTAATGTAAATCATGGTTTTAATCAGCCAAATTCCAAAAAGCTTAAAGTAGTGATTCAGATACAAAACAAATGAGCACTGGGAAGTTCTCAGATCCTGCTCTGAGTTAGGGCTCCACCTCTGCCTTCCAGGCAGACCACTGAGTTCTGGTGCGTGCGGCTGTACATGTCTGTAACTTGAGTTGGATCCACGTCACAAGCTGACAGCTGCTGGTAAGTGAAAAGGCACCAAGTAGCAGTTCCAAATTGTCATTTCTAAAACATACGAAGTTTCCATTTTCTGAGTTAGCGTTATAAAAATGTAAACTGAACAGGCATAGTGGTACACACCTTGATCCCAGCACTCAGGAGACAGAGACAGGTGGATAGAGAGGGAGCGAGTTCCAGGACAGCCAAGGCTACACAGAGAAACCCTGTCTGGAAAAAGAAAAACAAAAAATGTGAAGACATGGTATATAGAGAGGAAAAGTATGAAGACATGGTGTATACAGAGGAAAATGAAAATAACAAGTTGTTGTTGCCCTTTCAGACTATGAAAGTCACCTGGGTTAATATGTTGGGCTGAAACTATACAACAAATACTAACCAAAAATTAATCAGAAATGTTTAATATAGACATTCGTCAATAGTCACATGTGTTACAATTAGTAGTGGTAGGTAGGTGATTTTTAAGTCTGGGCTTCTTTACAGAAACTATAGGTGTGAATGGAGATTGGGTGCCAGGCCATAGCTTCCCATCCTGTGTTCTCCAAGTTTTTGTTCCCGTACGAAGTATGAAATAGTATGAAGTTTTGTTCCTGTTTGTTAGTGAAACTGAAATACAGTGAAAGACAAAATATCTCAGATAATTCCTTCTACCGAGGCAAAATTTGTCATGCTCTCAGCTTTTATGGTGATCAGCACAAAGTCCAATGTGAGCACTGCCGTGTGTGTTCTGTGTGTGAATCTTCACTGCAGTCCACGGGTAGGTATCACTAGCTCTATTGGTGCAGATGAAACTGGTTATGGTAAAAGTGAAGCAAATCTATCATGCTTACAGCTTACTTGCTGTTGAAATTAAGAATAATTCCATTTTATCATTAAAAAAGTTAAATCAACTTAGTCCCATTTAGACGAAAGAAAGAAAACCTCCTTATGAGTTATTGCTTACATTAGTTCCAGGAAAGATTTGCCTCTGTAATTAAAGTTATATCCTTTTTTTTCTGTCAGAAAATGAAAACTCTGTAATTCGATGTGCTTCATTTTTGTCTTCGTTGCCAAAAAAAAAAAAAAAAAAAAAAAACCTCATAGCTGAATGTATTATCCAGGTGTTGTAGTCCTTTTTTCCCCTCTTATTTTTAATTCCTTACTCTAACCTTTTCTATTTCCTTCCCAGTAGATTATAATCTGTTTTACTCGTAAATGTCTTCACTTGCTCTAAGATTGACACTTGATGTCAGAAATAAAATAGAAATGTAAAACAGACTTTTCAAAAAGAGGCAAAAGGAGGCAAATTGCCTATATGCTGTTACTCTCAGCAGTAGCAAGACTTGGAAACTGGAGATTGGAAGCACTGTGGGTGAAAGAATTGTGACCTCTCAGACCAGCTGTTCCTGCTTGTTCTCTGGGAGGCTTCAGGATTCGCCTTACTGTTCGGCCTCTTCTCTTTCACATTCGGCTTATGTGAAGGAGGTTTATGATGGAATCTGAAAATTTTAATTCTGCTTGGTTATTTTTTTGTTTGTTTATTTTTTTGTTTTTTTTCTTTTTTGAGACAGGGTTTCTCTGTGTTGCTTTGGAGGCTGTCCTGGAACTCGCTCTGTAGACCAGGCTGGACTCGAACTCACAGAGATCCGCCTGCCTCTGCCTCCCGAATGCTGGGATTAAAAGCGTGCGCCACCAACGCCTGGCTTCTGCTTGTTTTTATCACTGTGCTGGGGGTTAAGCTCGGGGGCCTCATGTTAGGCAAATGCTCTACCACTGAGATAAGCTACACCCCCAAGCCCCAAACTCTTCTCTCTCCCTCCTTCATTGATTGATTGATTGATTGGTTGGTTGGTTGGTTGGTTGATTGACTGAAGTGATCATGGGTCCTCAGAATTAAACTCTTGAGAGTAGAAGGAATGTCTTTAATTGATCAGATGTCTATTTTAATACTAGACCAAGCTTACACCGCTGGTGTAAGGGCCCCTTTCTAACAACCTTTGGAATTACAGTAAGGACAGTGGTAAGAACACCACTCAGGAAGCTATTCCAGTGTTTCACTGGATTAGATTGCCGATGATGACATGAGGGGAAAACAGACCAATTAAAAGCAGAAGCCCAGTGCTCGGGAATTGGGTTTAGGGACTGATGAAGAAGAGAAATGAGAACTGATGGTCCGCCATTTGAGTTGATCACAAGTCTGTGGTAGTAGAAGGATGAATAAGCTTGGGGAAGAAGAGCAAATACCTAAGTGGATATATCCACTTCTGGGTTAATGTGGGTTCATAAGCCCAAAAAAGAAGTCATGTGGAAATAAAGATTTGAGCCTCACAGCATAGCTTTTTGGCTTTCGTTTGTTTGGTTCTGGGATTTTTTGCTGTTAGTTGGTTGGGTTTGTTTGTTTGCTTGCTTGCTTGCTTTTCAAGACAGGGTTTCTCTGAGTAGCCCTGGCTGTCCTGGCACTCACTTTGTAGACCAGACTGGCTTCAAACTTGGA